TCTATGGGTTTTTGTCGAAAAACCAATATATTTCAAAATCGAATCGAAAAATCGAATAATAATTCGGTTCGATTTTGCTTATTTTTTGAACAATTTGGTTAATAAAAAATGATCAAAAAATTTCAAAACCAAACCGAATTATTGAACGAACACCTCTAATTCTAAGACTAACACTTATCATGACCCCGAGAGTGGGCCATGATCGCCGTGAGGATCGAGGAAGCCGTGAGACCTACCTCGACCCAAGCAAGCTTTAGATACTTATACCAATCAAATATCATTTCCATTCACTTCATTTCATAATAATCTAACATAATATCCATCACATTATATACTTCAACAAAAATCATAATTTTAATGCTATTATTGCATTTCTTAATTCATATTTATAATTAGTTCTTAATACAATACCCACATCTATAACTATAGAACTTCTAAAATCCAACAAATCCAACATAGGTTCCGTAACACCCCCAACCTAGGATCTAATAAGCTGAGAATATTGCCATCGTTAACCCACATTGAAAGTACAATGAATGTAAGTTAACAAGGTACTCGTGACTTATTTATAACCTATCTAGCTGTAATTACGCTACGTAACTCTATTAATAACTTATAGGTCCTACGTCTAGTTTAAAATGCACTATAAATTTTTTGTATCCTATTATTTTATTTACATTTCTTGGATCGAATCATTTAAATTTGTGATCCTCAATCTCCTCAAATTCCTTTTCTATTTCATTAGATAAATTTATTTAACTACAATTGATTGGTCATCTATTATTACTATTTCTATACATAACAATTCACATAAAATATTCACAAGCATACAAGAAAATTCATATAATCATATAAAATAATTCAATATCTCTCTAACAAATATTCTAAGCAAACAAAATATTTTTAATACATATGAAACATGCTCAAACTAATTATTTCATGCAACAATTACTATTCATGCATCGAAAAATAAATAAAAGATCTAGTAAGCCTAAAAACGCTACTTTAATTATCCCGAATCTTTTTTTAAGTCTTTAAGGATCATTTTATACCTTTAAAATATTTCTCACATTTTTAATATCATAATTTTATTTAATTCTATTTTTAGTGAGTACTCGTTATTACGAGTTCTAAGGGGTTTTACAAAAAAATAAGCCGCACAATCAATGTGTCGACTTCAAGCAAGCAACTAAAAGGAAGCAATGAACAATCCCTCGATATCCTACAAAACTAAAATAATGAAGATCAATCAATCAATAGCTCGGTGAGCGAGATATTATATAACATACTAAGGGAAGGAAATAGAATAAAGACAATACTTTTAAATTCATCTAAAAATACAATGCTTATTTCTTCGAAACACATGCATATTGTAAAACACATCGTACATAAAAATCAAATGGTTCAAAATCATTTTGTATCAAACCATTGAAACACTTATCATACTATATCGTATTCATACGAAATCTCATATATAGGTTTTTATACACCCATGGGGTAATAACATATCATTAGGTGCGAACATTCAAAGGTCACGTCTCCCATGACTAGATTTCGAATGTTGGTTGACACACAAGCTAGCACTCTACCTCTCGTGCTAGCCGAAGTCTTTTATTATTGAGCTCAAAGGCTACCCCGGTAGCTAGGTTCCCTAGGGTTTCAAAAACATGTTTCAAAAACCAAATATATTTATATATTTTTCAAACCGATACTTCAAATACCATGCATACATTTTTAGGAATTATAGGATACTTAAAATAATGAATATAATACATTCATGTTCAATTCGAAAACACATATCAAAACCATTAACACATTTATCCAACACATTAAAGTCTCTTTTTTCATTCATATCAAATCAATTTGATATGAAAACATTTCAAATATTATAAAGTCCGTTCCCATTTAAGTTTTAGTGGAATGCTTCTAAATCATTCTTAAATCAATGATGCGTGATGAACATAGTCAAGGAATTTAAAACATAGTATGCTATGTAATATCTACTCATAATACAACTGATGAATTGAATAGAATTTAAGACGATTGATATGGAGTCGCCTGCTTCGAAGAATCTAATCACATAACGATAGACAACCATCAATATCATATACCAAGAAATAATGCAAACAAGTAAATTATTCTAGAATTAAAATACAAGATTATTGAATAAAACAGAATTAATTGGAAAGACTCAAATCGATAATTTAACCAAATTCCGTAATCCCTCGATTGATTCTAAACAATCATCCAATCACATTCCATTGTCAATCTTTAACTCATTCTTCAAACAATCAACCTTCAATAAATCAATCCTTAATTCGATTAAATGATCCATTCTATTCTAATTCATCCAATACCCATTCCATTCATCTTTAATTGTATTCATATAACTAATTCTTCATTTTTTTCAAATTCTTTTCAATTAAAACCAAAATTTAGATTTTTCACTATTCATCATCTTCAACCTCTTAATTTCTCAAATCCACTTCAAATTAACTTCTTAATTCACTTACCCAAGACAATTAGACATCATTCAAGTCATTGCAATCACTTAGAACCATTTTTCCCAAATAAGTCTCAAAGCCCTAACCTTATTCTAATTGTTTCCTTAAGCATTCAACAAACCCAAAGCAATTGCATTTCAATATCATCATTAATCACACATAAAACATTTCAATTCAAAGATTAATGGATCAAAAATATTACCTTTGACACTATGTCCTTCCACTCTCAAGTTCTTCCTAGTTCTCTAAGTTTTTTAAGCTCCAAGCTAGCTAAACTCCACTTAAATCAACTAATTTATGGTTCTCCTAAGCTAATTTAATAATGTCTTAGCTTAGGAATCAAGGAAAAAAGTTTGGGAGAAAATACATGAAGAGGGAGAGGAGAAGAAGAGGGAAAATTTTGGAATAGAGGAGCGATTATTGCTCCTATTTATACCGGATCGAATTTTTTTTTTAGGTTATTACGGTTAGGTAGGATGGGACAACGAGTAATATTATATCTTTTTCATATGTAACCGACCTCTTACCCAAATATTTATTCAAACCATTACATTTAGGGTTTTTTAGTTCTCCTTAATTAACTAGGTGGTGACTCATTATCTAGTCCCTTCAAGGGCCAATGTCGACAGTACATGACAATGTATATAAATATATGATTGTATTCAATTGTTAGTTAGTCAAAGTCGAAATAGATTAACAAGGTTCCATAATTGTATAATAATTTACGTAACTCATAATAAATATATATTTTCAAATATATAGTGATTTAAAGATCGTGGATCAAATCTTTTGCAAAGTTTTTTAGGATTTGAATAAGTATGGGACATGTAACTATTTGATAGAATAGTGGTCAATGTGAAAAAGAAATTGTGTTTTGTAAAAAATAATTAACAATAAACATACGCTAAGAAATTATGATTTGAAGTTTTTAATTAAATTTTTTTTCTCATACTTTCTCTTTGTTCAACTTGATATCAATGTTTTTATTTTTATATACATGTGTTATAAAAAGGATCTAATGTATGTTTTTTTTTTTTTTTTTTTTTTTTTTATGAAAGACAAAATATTATTGGTTAGCATTTAATTTTATTACTACATAAGCAGTCAAAATATCTCCACCTTGTTAAAAAAAATAACTGAGAATTGTTTTTATTGATGTTTCCAAGTACATGTCATCTATCAAATAATTTAAATCAATTTATTCATGCTAACTCGAAGTGTTAGATGACAATAATGATGCTTAACACAATAGTAACTCACTAAAGCCAAACCTTGTAATTTTGGACTTGCTTTCTGAATTTCAATTTTATTTTTTAATTTTATGAAATATTTTAATATCATAAAAAAAGACTAATTGAAACTAATAAAATCAATAGAAAATATATGTATTTATTAAAACAGATATGATAAAACTTGAGAGGGTTCATTTTTCCAAAAATCTTCAAATTTTATCAATTTCAATTTTCAGTTGACAATATCGTCTTTTCCTTTGTTAATACTATAGTTATGTGAATATCAAAATTTAAATTAATTCAACATTTTTTAATTTTTTCTTTCAAAACCTTCACCATTCTGATTCCTCTCAGCTATCATGTTTTTCTTTTTTCATTAATGTTGTCATCAAATAGCACGTTTGATATGTGCAAATAATTATGCTGTAAATGGTGTCAAAACTGTTTTGTACTTAGGCTACCATTTGATTCATACGAGATATCAATTTTTTTTTAGAATTATTGTTCAAGATTTTAATGAAAATCAGATAAAAAAAGGTATATATATGACGTGCTAGTGAGAGAATCTATAAGAAGCAACGACACTCATGTTTTATATTTTTTATTAAAAAATATTTTTTTATCATATTTGTTTCTAACTTAATTATTATTCTTGATTGTCAAAGATCTGCTAGATAGTATTGTGAAATTTTTTTAATTATTTTTTATTTATTTGAAAAAATATTTTTCTTTTATGATTTTTTTTTCAATTTTTTTTTCATTCTTGCATTTTAGGTTATATTAAAATATTTTATAAACTTTAGAGATGAAATTAAAATTTGCACAAAATGAAAAAAAAATAAAAGATACAGAATCAAATTCAAAAAAATAATTTTGCGAAATAAAATTGAAAAAAATCATAAATCTGAAAGAAGCAAATTGAAATTTATTCAATATATGCGATCTAGTCATGCTCCAAGTAAAAAAATAAAAAAAAATTTCTTGATTTTGGATGACACAAACGAATGGGCTCGGGTCTGAGGTAAGAAGAAAGCAAACAGAAATCGAAAGCAACCCGAGAAAAGAAAAAAGCAGGCTAAATCTCATGGATCATGATGGTCCAAAAGACAGTCCTATTTGAGCCCAAAATCAAATATATTATAAGCCTTCTTCCGCTCATCTCCATGTCTTGTCGTGTGTAGACACTGTAGAGCAGAGACAGCAAGTGCAGATGGCGGAAGCTTTATAAAAATCGTAGAAAGAAAGCTGCTGCTGCAAAATCAGAATGGTGTGGGGTCTTTTTCCGGTAGATCCTCTTTCAGGTCAGTTTTACATCTTCTTCTTTTTCAAGTTTTCATTTTGATAAGGAAATTACTTAATTAATTAGTTAGAATATATCACTGTCTCTCTGTTTGTCAAGCTCTCTATGTATATACTCAACTCATCTGATTGTTTGTTTACTTAACATGGCAATTGGCAACTGGCAGGTGAAGATAAATATTATATCTTTACAAAAGGCATCTACAAAGTTGGCCGAAAAGGTGATTTTTTTTTTTTTTTTTTTTTTGTAATCTCGACTGTGCTGTGTTGTTTGGAGTTACTGTACTGTAATTTATTTCCTTGATTTGAGCTTAAGGACATTATCACAGCTAAGTTACTCTAGTAATGCTGATATCCAATTCGGTTGAAATAATGCAAAATTATTCTTGTTGTAGGTTGTGATGTAATTATTACCAAAGACAAAGGCGTTTCTCGAATCCATGCAGAATTACTTGTCGATGAAATGATTTCAGCGAATCATCCTCTCCACATGAAATCTGACCTATCCTCCCGAGTTCGGATTAGAGATTGCTCCAAGTATGGAACATACATTAACAAGGAAAAGGTACATGAGTTCCAAAATAAAGAAACATTTTTAAAAGATGGAGATGTGGTTTCCTTTGGAACGGCTACTGCCGTATACAGGTAAATTAGGTCGTTTCCATGTTCAGCCTGCATCTTTGACCTTTTCATTCAGTTCCTGAGTAGATATAATTTTTAAAACACTGATGGTATTTTATTTATTTATTTATTTTGTGTGGAATGATGAGACTATGATCAAATGCATTTTCATGGTCTGGCCTTAGAGCAATTTTTAAAGCAGGCTAAGATCATAAGACATGCAAAAACTGTGTGTTCGTCTCCAATTTAACTACTGTCTTGCTCTTGTAACTAAAATTTGGCAGGTTCTGTTTTGTTCCACTTGTTTTTTTTGTCTACTGTTCTGAGTCCTTTCAAGTGGATCAGCTTCTTCAAGACAACGTTTCATCAATAGGTAAGTTAGAAACTACTTCGCTACGTAATAATTCTCCATGTTTATATTACTGAGTTGATCTCTTTTTGCCTGCTGCAAAACTCCCACACAACCCCAGCCCTCCCCCCCAATTTGGTTGGTTTCATGTGCTTCAGAATCAGTGGCTTATGCAACCTAATTTTTTGTCTTCGGACTGAAGATTTGTTTTCTGACCAAAGCATGAGGCACATATTTGTGAAATTATTGGATATAAAGCCACCACTGATAATTGCTGTATTTCTCATGTAAGTGGCAGTTTGATGTGCAATATCTGTGTTTTGAGAATTGAGCTTCATTTTCTGTTAAAAAAAAAAAAAATTGATACATTTAGTAAAACTTCTGATCTAAAGCATGACATCTATTGATACATTGAAAGAAAAGGCAGCGGAGATGTATTTAATTCTTTTCTCTGTACTCGTTGGTTGGCAGGATTATTAGTCATGTTATTCTTCCTAATGCATCTTAGGGAAGTGTTCCATATACCCAATCCTGTCTCTTTTGGGGTTAAAATTAGTTGAGTGGACCTTCTTATCCAATTTAGTGTTCGTAGCAATAGCGGGTTCCAGGGGTGTCAGTTACCATGATTGGCTTTGCAATGCATGTAGAATCTAAATCAGTGAGTTGCTTCCTCTGGTAGTGCGGAATTTGATTAACTTTCAGTTGAACAGTATAGATGCAGCATTTTTGTGATTTGCAAAAGAAAATGAAAGAAAAAAGGTAATGACTGGTGGTACCTATGGGTCTTGTTGCTTTATTAACCAATCATGTTGTCTCCATGCACTTTTAATGCTACTGGTTTGCTGAGATCACAAATGGTAGTATTATAACATCACATTTTTTTAGAAGCTCATCATTTTTCCTTTCATTGGAATTGATGTGTGCTCGTAACCTAAGCAGTGTTTTGATTTACTTTAGAGGATTCTACTATTTACTTAAGAAGTCGTTTGCCCTTGCAAAATATTATAGTGATATTTATGTTAGCATGCTGTGTTGTTATAGGTGCTCGCATTACCTACAATTTGAGTGAAGAGTGCACGCATGTTCTTGCTGATGAACTCATGCCAGTTAAAGAAGATCTAGTTGATGCTATTGTGTCTAAAAAAGCTATTGTTCTCAGGAGTTGGGTTGAGGTACTAGTTTAATATCTCATGCTTCTTATTTAGGGTTTAATAGTTGCTGTTATTTAAATTAAAACCTTTGAGTGCTAGTTTTGAATGTTGGCTAACAACTTTACTTTGATAAATGGACGTTTGGAAGGGAATTATGACATTCGCAAGCCACGTCCTTGTTGCTTGTTTGCCTTTTTATTTCGATTTTGGACTAAACTGAAACAACATAGAGGAGTCTTGTAATGGATTTACTTTTTCATGAGAACGTCTGAAAATGGTGGAGATGCACCTTGGTGTTGCTGCAATAACTAGGAGTGATTAAGGATCCTTTGGTGCATAAAATGTTAAATTGTAAATAGTAGCTATGTTTTTCATGGAACATTTGGGAATATGGTTAAACAAGCCATATGCTGGTGACAGACACTTGAGTTGCAACAGTAAAATATGAAATTGTTTATCTGATCAACATTGTTTATGTTCTATACAATCACTAATTGCTTCATTATGATTAGTTGGTTGCAGAAAAAAGGATTGGTTTAGAAATTCCTAGCTGGAGCTCGTAAGTATCATTTCAGTCATGGATAAACTGAATTTTTTAACACTTTTCTGCAGTTCCTTTTATATCTCTGATGAAGCAAATAAAATACATCCTACTTTTTCCCTTCAGATATATTCCAACGTTGACAGTGGAAGGAGAATCAGTCAAAGTCGCAGCACCAGAAACTCGTGCAAAGTGTTTGGAAGGATTCACTTGTCTGCTGGAATCAATAACTATGGTGATAATTGGAATCTGGTTGACTAGTTTTCCTTGAAAAACTTAAGATTTCCTCCTGTAATTACAAAAATTTTCTCACTTCTGATTCCCTTTGGGAATCAAAATATTGAAACCTTTTGGCACACTTGCATAGAAGTGTGGTATTGAATTTTCAATTTGAACTTGTACTTTAAAGTTGCTGTGACTTAGACTTTGATATTTCATAAAAGCTTGAACTGCCCCTTCAACACCTCTGTAACCGCTGTTGACATGAGTAGAGGACATCCCAAAACATGCCACCCGTATCTTTGTTATTCATCCACTGATGCATGTGCATTATTTGTCTCATAGCGATTGTTCCATAGCCATAAAACTGCCTGATCTTTTTTTAGTGGCGTGAATATTTGCTTGTTTTATTCCTGTTTGGAAGCTTAATTTTATGCTGGAAATATTTGAAATGATTGATCTGAGGTCTATCATTCTTGATTTGGGTAGTTATGTATTGTTATTTTCCCTTATGCAGTATAAGTTCAAGGACAGATTGCAGTCTCTGTTGGAAGTAGGTGGTGCAAAGATTGTTTCCGTAGAAGAATTTTGTTCAAATACCCAAGTATGCAATTCATGCTCTTGTTAAGATATTCCTTTCTGCATTTTTGCACACTAACAGGGACCATTGTCACTTGTTTGATTTTGGTGAGATTTATAGTATTTTTTATGAATTTTCAAGATTCTTACCATCAAAATAGTTTTATCTAAAAACTTGTTATTTTGTCGTCATTGTGTGTGAAGTTAAAGACTCCTTCTTTTAACTAGTTGATTTTGCTACTTTATGTTATTTAGGTTTTTCACTGTTTTAATGAAAAACTTTGTTAGGCAAGGACAGAACTTGAACTCAACTCCTGTCTACTTGTCTTCTTTTGTTACTGTACACACTGCTTCGCAAATATATTCTTTTGTTACTGTTAGAAATGCATTGTTTAGCAGTAATTTTATCATAAGCATGTGAAACTTTTGAACTCTTGATTTAGACAACAGCTGGCAACATCTTCTAACATGTATTGAGTGAATAATTTTTTCCAAGCTTGGATCATGCAGAAAATAACCATATGATCTTCTAATGCATGTTGGGTGAATATTTTCTTTCAGGGCTTGGATTATGGACGAAACAGTCGCATGGTATGCGTTATCCCAAGAGGATTGCCAGACAAGTTTAATTCGTTCAACAAACTGGGTTCATTATCTAGAGTGAATGAGTTGGACTTGTTAAGAGCTGTTTTGTCTGGACATCTAGACTTGTCTGTTTTGGTATCCCCATCTGGTCAGTATCATATTTTCCAATAGATAGTGTTTAGGAGCTCTTTTCTTGTGGAAATAACCTAGAATCTCCACCATAATTAAACAATTTGCACTACATATCCTTTTTAGCTGGGAAATGTAAAAATAAGTGATTTTGAGAGACTTCATTTTGATGATACATAGCACAAATAGTGAAATGTATGGCCTTGCGAGGCATTCCAATTTGCAAAATATCTCTAGTGTTAATTTTATTGAGCACCAAAGATCATTTAGAGTCCTAATATCAGGAGTTTAAAGAATCTTTAGTCATAGACTCTGTCATCCCAACTTTTTTTTTTTTTTTTGAAAAAAAGTAGTGTTGGTTTTGATGCAATTCCCACAATAATAAATGCAGACAGTGAGTCTACTAGTGCCATTTTTGGATATGCTTCTGTAGTGTCATCAAAGAAGCTCAGACGTAAAATGTTGAAGTTTGAGCACCATATGTGTGGTGGAGTTTCTGTGTGATTATTTTGTTATGTGATTCAGAGTTCTGTATTATGGATGTAAATTCCAAGGTTGTCATCATGTTGCACTGGGGCTTTTTTTTTTTTTTTTTTGAACACTGACTAGAGAGAAGTGCATGACTCGAATAGCCACTTTGAGGAATTATGCATTGCCTTGAAAGAGCCTTTAAAAAATTCTGGATGTTGCAGAATATGATTTTGGGATCATAGTTTGGTTATTTGATAGAAATCTTAATGAGCGAATGCATATTTGTTACACGGCATTTTTGCTTTTAGCAGAAGTCCATTTTACCTTATTATTATGAAGGACCAATTGTTTGTAATCTATTATTTCTCTTGCTTCTTTAAAGTGATTCAACTGCCTTTTCAAATTCTTGTTGTTTCCTTTGCTTATAGAACTACATGACTTATTTGAAATTACCATTATATTAGGCATTTCTTTGTTATAATGCTTGCTATATGTCTTCTTCCAGTTCTTGTTTCATCATCATGCTCTACTGATGAGACAGTAGTAGCAGATTCTGATGCAGAAGAGGAAACAGCAACATCATTGCATTTCACTGCTGATATCTCCAAAGAAGAAGCCCCAGAATATGTGAACAAACTGGAAATGCCCATGCAACCTCATCCTATATCAAAAAACAGGCATGCTGTAAGCTCTACTTACAGCATTGGTGGCATGACAGCAAAAAGAGAAACAGTTAATGAGGCTGAAAGTGGAAATTCTGATATTATTTATAGTCAAGATTTAATCATTAGGGATTTGAACTTACCTGCTAAAATCAGTTCGACTGCAAATGATGGAGTTTTAAATTTCAAACGCTTCAGAAAGGTACTTGAAGTTTCCCTTTTTGATTAATGAACTTGGTAGGTTTTTTTAATCCATAACAGTCTCATGCTGTTCAGACTCAATTAGTTTAGCTTGTCTATTAGAAAAATTTTGTCCAGTCACTTCTGTTCACGGTTGCTATGGGAAAATTTGTTGAGCTGATCAAATCCATGATTTTAGACTGGAAAATCATGTTGAAGAAAGATGGCATTGAATTGGTCAGACAATGCTTTTAATAGCATCTTTTGATTTGTCCTTTGGGCTTTAGTTCAATCGATAAATGGTTGCCTCTGCATGTGTTTCCTTGTCACCAGTTTTATGTTAAATCGATGAAAAAAATAAACGTAGTGTTTTTTACTTTTCATCTTCCTTTTCTCTTATTGTAGTTTGTGTTTCTGCATGCCTATTGTATAGAAATTAAGCCAAATTCCTTTTCCGTTTATCTTCTTGCAGGGCAACCCTCAGTCAGGGAATAGCTTCAACAACCTGATTCCGTTCTCCAAATATCCATACAAGTAAGATCCCTGTCCCTCGACTCTAGGAAGATACTCGGGAACTTCATGATTACTATAGGGTAATGCTAGAGATACTATAGTTGTTATTAAACTATTTAACTAACCCATGTGGCAACCTTTTGATTGGCATTATTGTTCATTTAATTAAATGACGGATAAGTTTGTGATTTGATAGTTTTGTTGTGTTAGTTTTAGTAAAAGTGTAACCACTTGTAATATTACTCATTATGTTTTCATTTGTTTCTTGATAGAGATTCTGACTGCGGGAATCAGGAGATGATCGAGTCTGTGAAGGAAGAGAAAAGGCGAAAGCAAATGGAAGCAGTTGCAGAGGACTTATTCAACACTGCAAAGGTGACTAGCAAAACTTGGATGAATTGGAATAAGGATTTAACTATAAGAAACTTAGCTGTGTAAGTAGATTTTGGTTAAAATGGGACTAGATAATGATAAATGCTTGCTGCTTCTTAAACTATGCAGGGAAGGCGGCGTGGAGTTGCTGGTTCTCTTCACGGACTTCTTACTCATGGCTGACAACAGAAATGAAGAAACTGTTGATCATCTTCTTCATCATTGTGCAATATCAAATAAATTCTGATATGCCTTTTCCCTGTATTGGTATTCAGTGGGTTATACCGTTCATGTGAATTCCTAAAACGTCCAGGTTATATAAATGAAATACCAGTCATATTTGGGATTTCACAGGAACTAGAGTGTTGCCATTGCATTTTGTCAGATTGTAGCGATAACTTAGATAACAGCAATTTGCTGTATTATCAAACACAGACTTAGGCTCCTAATTAGTCAAGCAAGCTGTTTAAAATCACTGAAGCATCGTTTGATTATCAATTTTTCCAATCACTATACCTCTTTCACTTCTGTTTTAAATACCAAAATTTATTTATAATGAGCGATAGAAGAGAGGGAGAGAGCTAGTAACTCTGGAGATTGAGTTGGTGGAGTTTACGGGGCTTTAATTTAAGAAGTTGGTAAGAGAAACGTAAGTACAAGTGGATCCGTGGCGCAATGGTAGCGCGTCTGACTCCAGATCAGAAGGTTGCGTGTTCGATTCACGTCGGGTTCAATTCCCTTACCAATCATTCCCTTTTTTTTTTAATTTCTGAATGATACCCCAAATCTCCGCCTCTAGGCTCTTACAAAACCAAGAAAAAAAATGCTATCACCACACTCTCTGCAACTCCCAACGCTCAATTCTTCCTCATTTACCCATAACTTTTATCAAGTTTACTTCCTGGGAGTGGAAGTTATCAAAACTTCAACAGTATTCTTTTCTCTTTAAGAGAAGTATATACATGATATTCTTATAAAAAAGAGAATGGTGGATTACCGATTTATCACCACACCCATGCTAATCACGTCCAAACTAAAAAATAGAGATACCGAGTTGTTTTCTAATCAAATCTTATATTGATAGGTTGTGAGTACTCTCTAATATGCTACACTTGTTAGATCGTATATTGCGTATGCTCGTGAATAAAATGTGTCAATTCATGCATAATTCATGTTCGGACCATTGGGTAGCTATGAAACTGATTTTGCGATATCCGAATCACACCTACACTTATGATTTGCATATTAGGAGGTTCATCTCTCAACTCTTCATAGTTTTTTCTGATTTAAATTAGGGTTCTTTAAACGATAGAAAATCTATAAGATGTATGCGATCCATTGAGGGCTGAATTTGATTACTTGGAAGTCATCCAAGCCGTTCTTGATCCGGTAGCTAAGCTAACATGAGTTATGTCCTTATTAGGTGAACTTGGTGCTACACCAGTCAATCAAACACATGGAAATAGATTTCCATTTCGTCAAAGACATGGTTGCAAGTGAATTTTATTTTTATACAAGACTAGATTACGGATATTTTAATCAAGCCTATGTCTAGGGCTCGTTTTGAATTCTTGCAGGATAAACTTACTTTTGAAAACTGTCCATAGTCGGCTTGTGGAAAAGTATTAAGATAGAGTCTTGCTAAGAGACAGTCCTATTGAGGAAAATATGAAGAAGATAAACACCGCAACAACTTGATACTATCCGATAGTTTGTTGATAGAATACTTAGAATTCTATATGCACCATACTTGTATATCTATAACAGGATGCGTTAAAGTAAGATCCTCGTTCCTCGACCCTAGGAATATACTTTGGAACGTCATTGTTAAAATAGGCAATGCTAGTTGTTATTAAACTATTTAACTAACCCATGTGGCAACCTTTTGATCGGCATTATTGTTCATTTAATTAAATGAACAATAATGCCGATCAAAAGGTTGCCACATGGGTTAGTTAAATAGTTTAATAACAACTAGCATTGCCCTATTTTAACAATGACGTTCCAAAGTATATTCCTAGGGTCGAGGAACGTGGATCTTACTTTAACGCATCCCGTTATAGATATACAAGTATGGTGCATATAGAATTCTAAGTATTCTATCAACAAACTATCGGATAGTATCAAGTTGTTGCAGTTGTTTATCTTCTTCATATTTTCCTCGATAGGACTGTCTCTTAGCAAGACTCTATCTTAATACTTTTCCACAAACCGACTATGGACAAGCTTTCAAAAGTAAGTTTATCCCGCAAGAATTCAAAACGAGCCCTAGACATAGGCTTTATTTTAATCAAGATAGAGTATTAAACTATTTAACTAACCCATGTGGCAACCTTTTGATCGGCATTATTGTTCATTTAATTAAATGACGTATAAGTTTGTGATTTGATAATTTTCTTTTGTTGGTTTAGTAAAAGTGTAACCACTTGTAATAGTACTCATCATATTAAGTTTTCGTCTGTTTCTTGATAGAGATTCTAACTGCGAGAATCAAGAGATGCTTGAGCTCGTGAAGGAAGAGAAAACGCCAAAGCAAATGGAAGCAATTGCATTAGGACTTATTCCATAGATAAAAGATGACTAGCAAAACTTGTTTGGATGAAGTGGAATGAGGATTGGGTTATAAGAAACTTAACTTTGTAAGTAGAATTTAGGTAAAATGGGACTAGATAATGAGAAATGCTTGTCGCTTCTTAAACTATGCAGGGAAGGCGGGGTCGAGTTCGTCGGTTCTCCGCACCGACTTCTTACACGTGGTCGACAACGAAATGAAGAAACCGTTGATCATCTTCTTCATCATTGTGCAACATCTAATAAATTTTTTAGATATTCAGCTATCGTTCGGGTACCATGAGGATTGTCACGGAGTTTTTCTTTCAATGACATGGTACGAGAGCAAGATTTGTTTGCAAACACTTAAGAGTGTGGACCATGCTTCATGTGAGGATGAAAATGTGGAAATATATGATTGAATTTCGGGGACACGGCTCCTAGTATAGCACTTAAGTTAGGTATGTTGGATTGATAATGGTTTTAGATGTGTCTTTGGGATCCGAAATTTCTTTAATTAGGTAGATGTGATGAGTCATCAATGTGATTGAAGAGGTTATAACCAATGAGTGCAGAGTTTAGTTGAGTACTTCATATAGAGAAGTTGAACTTAGTGAGTTTAGTAGGCGAGATAAGTGGGAGTATTGAAGGAAAAAGTTTGGTTTTTAATAGTGGAGGAGGCCATGGATCGATTTAAGAAGCTTTTAAGTTATGAAGGCTCGATAACATAAAGAGATAAAATGTGTTTGGAATGCTTAGATTTTATTGTCCAATGTGTTTGGACAATATATATACTCGTAAAGATTGTAGAATGATAGAGTTCAAACTCTACACTAACAGTCTATTTGAATTTAAATTGTACTCAAGAACTATTTGAGTTTTATAATTTCTATTATCCATAATAGCCGACAATGAGAAATGAAGAAAATGTTGATCGCCTTCTTCATCATTGTGCAATATCTAATAAATTTTGATATACCTTTTTCTCCGAATTGGTATTCATTGTGCTATGCCTCGAAAATGAGTTTGAAAGGATATGATCTCTCGGAGGAAAGGGAAGCGGGTAGTTTTAACATGTGGAGCATGTTCCTTTGATGTGTGATATGGAACATTTCATTAGAGAATGAATAGTAGTATTTGAGGGTTTGGAGCATTAAGATGTTAATTAGATCGAGTTTGGCACGTTGGGATCGTTCAATTTTTTGTTGGAGCAACATGCTCGTATGCGGATAGATTCCAAAAGCTAGGAAGGGTGCTTGGTGCTCTCATTTTTATTACCCCCGCACATAAGCCCTAATCCGTAGTCGTTTGAAATACGAGTAAGAAGAAAATGTCAAGTGATGATTATCATATATAGAACTAATTTAGTCCTATGAGCAATCCGCCTCGTGCTCGTCAGCAAGAACTTAATGCCAACGGAACCATTTGGTTTGTTGTGTAAACATACCTGGTCATGTATCCGTATGGGAACGGTAGATTTACCCTGACTCTCGACTTGATCATGACATGAATAATGAAAGAAACCATTGAAAGTTAGGTTTCAGTATTTAGTTATTTTAAAATTTGAAATTTAAAAAACTTCTCTTTTTAAACCTTAGATCATTTAGGGAGTGCTTGATAACCTAATTAAGTAGCTTAAAAAATTAAGTTGTACTCGCTTAATATAAAAATCTTGTTTCATACTTAAATGTTCTCATATTAAAACTTTAAGTTCAGTTAAAATCTACTTAATCGGATAAGTTAAAATTTTTAACTTATCCGATTAAGTCAAACAATCTAAAACTTACTCTCTCTCTCTCTCTCTCTCTCTCTCTCTCTCTCTATATACATACATATATATATATATATATATATATATCGAATTTATAAATTATAATAATATATTTTTAAAAAATAAAACTTCGACGTTATAAAATTTTATTTCAAAATTCATATATTAAAAAATCAAATTTATTAACAAATAAAATTATATCAAAAATTAATTTGATGAGAATTTTAGTAAGAAAAAAATAATTGAAAAAAATAAATTTTAAACAATAAGAGTAATATAATCGGATACATATGTTCAAACTAAAATCTTAAAAAATATCATATAAATTCTATCATCTTCAAACAGAGCTTATTATATTCGGTACTTAATTTTCAGTAAATACCAAACAACTTGTCGTGAACATATTCGGTACTTAACAGATTCAAGCACTTAAAATTTAATACTTAATAGATTCAGCACTTAATTTTCAATTTTATCAAACATCACCTTACTTTATCTTAAAACAGTTAACCCTCCCATGGCAAACTCTTATCATGCATGCAGGTCGCCTTTGAAATAAATTAAGTGTCTCAAGACTCAGGATTAGGTGATGCCATGCATCCCCTTGAGATTCCATTTTAGTCACAAAATTTACAATTAAACTCTCCACCTGGTAGGTACAAATTAATTCGATGTGGTTAACGGTTAATTATGATAACTAATTAAGTGTCCAACTTGATTGCTCAATGGGAATGGCAAATAGGATTTGACTTAATTGGTAGTTTCGTGATAATTTTTACTTGGAATTTATATGTCACGGTCCTCTGGCGGCTACCAACTACGTACAAGTAGCAGTACCAAAAGGATATTTGGCCATGTTGAATTAATGTTGATAATTTGCTCAAATGGTGAAATGAATAATTAGTTAGTCCACCCCGATCGAGGACAATCTCCTTTCTATAGGCTTTAGTTATATTTTTTTAAGATTTTGCAATTAAACGTTTAGAAATTTGTGGTGCCAGTGTTGTATATATACGACCATCTTGCTTATTCAAATGTTGATCTAAAGAAGGACGGGATCATTAATGTGAACAATGCTGTAGCAACATTAATTTACTTACGGTGCAAGACACTGTAATCTATGGGATAAGATCAACAGCACCATGCAGCCGGCTGCCAATTGTTGTTCTGTTGTATTAACATTAATTTAATGCACGTCCGTACACACATATTCAATAAATAGCACCATCGTAGCTTCGCCAAAAACGCAATTAATGATCTCCAGTTCCCTATCTTATTTCTAAGTTGGAGTACGAGTATACATATAACTAAGCTAGCATTTTTTTTTTCCACATACTTGATTTATTCTCGTTCAAACACTTGCAGCCATGACAAAGTGGGTCGGAACTGCTTCATATGGCTAACCATGGCCATATGCAATTGTTTAGCTCAGCCAGCCGAGGAACTGAGCCCTCCTGTGCTCGACACCAGCGGTCAGCCTCTTGAAACTGGTGTTGAATATTACATACTTCCTGGTATAACTGATGTTGCAGGTGGTTTAACCTTAGTCAGCCGGAATGAATTGTGCCCACTCTACGTTGGTCTGAGACGCTTGACAAGTGAGGAATCAGATGGCACTAAAGTCATCTTCACTCCATACGCTTCCGGAGAGACCATCATCAGGGAATCGAGGGACTTGAGTGTGGAATTTCAAGCACTCACTATTTGTATCCAGTCTACTGCCTGGAGAGTAGGGGAGGAGGATTCAGAAACAGCCAGGCGATTCATCTTGACAGGAGGAGAAAAATCGTACTTCAGGATTGACAATAATGGAGGTGTCTACAATTTCTCATGGTGTCCTACTGAATCCTGTCCAACTTGTGACAGGCCAAGGTGTGGATCTGCTGGCATTTTGATCGAGAATGACAAAAGATTGTTGGCCTTGGATGGTCCTGCTGCATTTCCTTTTGTATTTACCAGGGCCTAATTAATGTACGTATATGTATTAAATTTAAGGGAATAATTGATTAATGTCACAATATAAAGGGTATATATATTGTGTTGTATAATAAAAAATAAAAATATGGTGTTATGAAATAATGAATGTCCATCATTATATTCATTTACTTTTCATATCCCCACTACTCATGATTCTTAATATGATTCAATTCATCATTTAATATGAGAAATTGAAAGGATAGTGCAATTGATTATTCATAGTCCCTTCCAATTCTTTTATCAAATTTGAAACCTATTGTTCATTAGTTGGTATACAAGCATTTTATAAAGATTATGAGAATTGTTTAAAGTTGTTATCTCTTATATTCTCTTTATAGTGAAATCATTTCTTCATCATTTTTTTTTCAATTCGTCAATTATTTTTATTTTATTTATAACACGTTATCAGCACAAAGCTCTAACCAATCGAGACAATAGACCATGAGGTATATATTTATCAAAAGACTTAATCAATTGTTTCAACCATTGGATTTCTTTGACACAAGTGCTCTACCAAAAGATCTAAATTATTTATATCATTAAGGGGTATATATCTAATTTATTATGTACTTTAAATATAATGATATATACAATATATATTTGAAAAACTTAAATGATTTAATATATAGAATCTAATGATATAATATATGTTGTTTGAAAAGCTTTAATTTTATTACTATGCTTGTTATTTTTTAATATTATTATTATATATTACATTATAGAATTTTTATCATATCAAACCTCATAAACTTGATTTTGTGGCTCTTGGTATTTCGAATAAGAATTATTGATTATGATTGCTTGATTTTGAAAAAAATATTCTCTACTTTTTATATCTTGAATATGCTCTCGCAAGTAGCAATATCAAGAAAATGAATTTAAGAAATATTCTAAATTGATTTCATATTTGCTCATGACTAAATAAAATGACAAGCTATTAATGAAAAGGAATAAATCTCATCCAACTAGATTTACTCCATTCTCTCGAAGTGAATGTGACAACTTATAATAATTTTGAACATGGACAAAGATGCGGTCATAGCTATGGACGTAATCGAAATAATTATCATTATAATTATGATGATCATAATATCACATCTCACCACCGAAGTGGATAACTATGAAAAAAAAGAAATAAAAATAGATAAAGTCACCATTCTGAAAAATAAATATTATAGATATGGAATGAATGAATATTGATCGTGTATCCGCCGTACACCAAAGCACCTCATTGAGCCTTGTTAAGCCTTATTGAAAAATAAAGAGTAAAATATGAATGCCACTTTTATATATCAAAATAATTGTAACTGAAATTAATTACTTGTTAGTTTTTCTATTTATAAATAAAATAAAAATATTTTTTATAATTTATATCGTATAGTAATAGTTACAAATTTATTTTACTCGTTTATTTATTTGTTTGTGTTTATGAGGAATATATATATATATATATATATATATATATATATATATATTGATTTATTTGATTATTTATTTTATGTTAATATTATATATGATAATATCAATCTAATATAAAGCTCTAAAAGAGTGACTATATTATTATCTAAAAAGATAAATTTTGAAAGCTCTAGAGGAGCGATTATATTATGACCTGAAGAAATAAATTTTTGAAGCTTTAAAATAGTAGATATATTATTACTTGAAGAGATTACTTTTAAAGGTTCTAGAAGAGTCTATATATTATTACTTAAAGTGACATAATTTAAAGGCTCTAGAAGAGCAAATATATTATTATCTAAAAGAATAAATTTATTATAAATGATGTACTATTCTTTTTAAAATCTCATAGAAATTTATTGAGTTTCAAAGTTATTCATCTAAATTGATATCATATCAAGATAACAAATGTAAATACTTATATATTATAATCATTATACCGGGTAGAAAATATGTATTGAAAAATTTACTCGTTTTCTCTTCTAGTCTTTATTACAAATATTGAAATGATTGAAATAAATACTATAGTAAACTAGAAGTTTACTAATTTAAATACTTTTATTATGTGGCATGACTAGTTATGTTATCTTTTGTTTTTCATGATACGAAAAATTATTAAAAATTCATATTTACATTTATTGAAGAGCTAGAAGATTCTTCAATTTAATTAATTTTCATGTTCCGCATGTTGTCAAGATAAATTGATGATTAAGCCATCACCAAGTAAAATTGAGATTTAATCTCTAGTATTTTTAGAATGTATTTAAGGTGATATATGTGGATCAATTCATCCATCATGTGGACCATTTAAATATTTTATGATTTTAATAAATGCATCCACAAGATGGTCACATATATGCCTATTATCTACTTGAAATCTAACGTTTTCGAGATTGTTAGAAAATAATTTGATTTTGAATATAATCTTTAGATTATGCCATTAAAATAAGTCACCTTGATAATGTTGATGAATTTATTTCTCAAGTATTAAATTATTATTGATTAGCTATTAGAATAAAGATTGAATAGCATGTTGCTCATGTTCATACTCGAAAAGGTTTAACAAAAATCATTTATCAAAAGACTCTAATTGATAGTTAAAAAGAAATATTATTAGCAATTAAATATCATATATATTTATGATAAAATTTTTATTGGGAATCCTTTATCTTAATTAGATAAAACAACTAATTTTAAAATTTGAATTATGTCATATTTTATGAATATTCAGATTTAATTAAAAATTATTCACTACAACAAAAATGGGTTTTAACGACGGATGTTTAGTGACGGTCAAAAAGCTGTCGCTAAAGACTTAGATTAGCAACAATTTTCTACACTTTAGCAACGGTCTAAAAAATGGTTATAAAAATTAAATTTTATGACGGTTTTTTAGCAACGGTCCACCAATCCATTACTAATGTTATAGGCCAACACTTTTAGAGATGGTTTATAAGTTTAGCGACGGTCTAAACCGTTACTAAACCGTTGGTACATATTATTTAATATTTTTTCAACGGTTTTATAAAAAAAATCCTAAATAAAAAATAACTTTAGCAACGGTCATAGACCGTCGCTATTCCGTTACCAAACGGAAAATTAGCAACGGTTTGGTGTTAGTAAATCGTTGCTAAAATATTTGTTTTAGCAACGGTCAAAGACCGTCACCAAATCAACTCGGAAACGGTTTAGCGATGGTCTAAGACCGTCGCTAACCCGTTTGTAATTTGATTTTATTATTTTGATGATTGCAAAAATAACCGTTGCAAACATTAAATTAGCGACGGTTAGAGACCGTCGCTAAAAGTAAACCGTTGGTGGGAAACGATCAAATTAAATTTTGAATTTAATTTTAGCGACGGTCGCGAAAACTTTACCCTTCTATAAATATCAGTCGATCGGAATTTGCCATTTTTTGGTTTTCTTCTCCTCTCTTATTCTCCTCCGACAACGAACATCTCTCGCCTTTTCTTCTCCAATCCTTTGATCTCTCTCCTCAAAGCCATTGTTTCCTTAAAATCTCCATATTTCTTTCCTCTTTTCCTCCTCCTTTCAAGTTTTCTCTCTTCCGTTGAAGCTACCGTTTTTCGACGATCATATTCCGACGAGGCTTTTTTTTCGACGGTTTCTACCCCTCCTTCTCTTGGTGAAAGGTCCACCTAAATCTAAACCATCCTTTCAATTATTAATTTTTTCAGTTATTTATTTATGTCAAATAATTAGATTTTATTTTAATTTTTTAATTACTTATTATTGCTAGTTTAATTATTGAATTGTTTGTTTATTGCATGTGTTTTTTTAATTTGATTATTTAATTAAAATTTATTTTGTGTGTTATTTTAGTGTAAATTGTGAGAGTTAATTGAAATGTTTAATTGTTAATTGTTATGTTAATGTTGTTGTTAATTATTGATTAATTGAATATTATTGTTAACTTTTTAATTTTGTGTTATTTTTTTTAATTGTTGATTGAATTAATTTGATTGGTAATTGTTAATTTACTTACTTTAATTTATTGTTAAATTTTTTTGTTAGAAAATATAATTGTTATAATTTATTTTATGTTATTATTTAAATTGTTATTGTTATTTTTATTGTTATTGTTATTGTTATTAGTGTAACTAATAATTGTTAATTTACTTAAGTAATTCACAATTTATTGAAAACATTATTAATTTCAGTAATTCCTAGTTCAATAAGTTAAGGCGTTAGGTTAGTACAAAATAAATTCGATGGAGTACTGTGGGTAAGACAAGCATGTCCGTATTATATGAAAAATTCGATGCTTTCACCCTTCGAAACGGGAGGAAAACTTCATGGTTTGATTGTCATCGAAAGTTTCTATCACAACACCATCCGTTCGGGTGAAATAGGATCGCGTTTAAGCGAAATTCAGTTGTTACGGACATTGCTCGCACCGATAAATTTTGGAATTGAAATTTTACAAGAATTAAACAATTGGGGGTTCGCTGAAAGTAACGGAAGAGGGATCCAATGAGTATAATAATAATATATCTAAATATTGTGGTTGGAAAAAGCGTAGTATATTTTGGGACCTACCTTATTGGAGTTCTAATCTAATATGTCATAATTTGGATGTCATGCACATTGAAAAAAATATCTTCGACAATGTGTTTATTACAATTATGAATGTCCCAGGAAAAACAAAAGACAATGCAAATTCAAGAGAAGACTTAAAGCTATATTGTCGATGGCCCGAATTAGAAATAGATGAAAACTCTAGAAAATACCCAAAACTTTGTTATATTCTAGACAAACAACAAAAAATACAATTACTTGAATGGATTAAACAACTAAAGTTTTCGGATGGATACGTCTCAAACTTGGCAAGGTGTGTGGATATGAATAACCTCGGATTACGTGGCATGAAAAGTCATGATTGTCATGTATTTATGCAAAGGCTAATACCTATTGCATTTCGTGATATGTTACCAACAAATGTATGTCAATCACTCACCGAGCTTAGTTTATTCTTTAAGGAAATAACATCTA